ATATCCTTTCGCTGCAGAATGACCAAGTAAATAAATGATAATAACATAATGTTAAAATAATTAATTAAATAATGTTAAATTATGTATATAATGTTAAATTACCAACTCTATACTATTATTCTTTCACTGAGAGTCTCTATGGAATGGTTTTTTCCGTAGCGTTTATCATCGTTTCAGGTTTTCAAGACTAATAAAAAAAAAGATATGAAATATCACTGGAGAAGCAAAAAAAAGTATTAATCCGAAAATTGGAATGACGAAAATAATAATTCACCCTAGGGAATGAAAAGAGGCAGTTTGAAAGTAAATCAAATAAACTGAGACACTGAGAATGAAAAGTTAATCCATTGATGCTCGTTGACATTGGTGGTATTCCGTTGATTGACAGCGGTGGATTCGACCTCATCGTTGAACGTCGACCTGCGCGCCCGAAATGGAATCTGGCACGGCAATGCATAAAAAGTAAATCACAGAAATTGAAATCCATGATATCAAATTGAAATCAATATTGAATGCAGATTGAATTCTTTACCTCTTGCCTCGAAGAATATACATTGAAATCGAATCAAGTGACACGTTCTATTAGTCGCGACTTTAAAAAAGAAGTTAACAACTTAAGACAGATATCGACTCTTGTTGAAGAATTCTTTCTGACAAAAGTGTCCAAGTACATAGTGTCTGAATTTTCTTGCGTGCAGTAGAGAAGACGTGACAGACATCCTTGCAAATCCCAAGGTGGTTGGCCAAATGCCAACACGTGTTAGGACCTCGAAACACGCCAACTCGCACGTGGATTTTTCTTTCCTTCCTTTTTTCAACATCCCCGTGTACCACGTGTTACTATTTGATGAGATAAAAAGGGCCGTGGCTGTCCTACGGTTCCAGAGCATTTATTTTTCAGTATCCTAGCCCGTTATTTTGTATTTCGACTGGGTTTAGGGAGTGTTGTTACCCATGGGAGAAACCTGCAGTTTTCTACCCATTAATATTGCATCGCAGTAAATTGTATAGCCTCTCTCATTTCGCTTTCTCCTTATCGTTGAAAATCATTGATAATTTATTCTTAAATCTATTCTTCTCATTCTGCATATTGCATGTACGATCTCTGTAACTTTTATCGTTAATATTTAACTTTAATATGTTACTAAATTAATGTCCTTTTTCCGGAATTATAGAAAATCTGACGTGACACAACTTTTAATGTAAATTAATATATCTAGAGGATTCCAAGAAATATCTCCATTTTCAAGAGAATATTATGAATTGCAGCTGTGAAATGCATTAAAAATTAATCTTTAAAATGTTTCTGCAAAATTCTGCATGGAGAAATTATTTTTCTATTTGCAATTTTTTTACTTTCTCCTAGACAAACAATTTCAAATTATTTTAGAAAAGAATATTTTTTAATTTAATAATTGCCTCTTAATGAAGTGTTAGAGAAAAATGGGAGAGTCAAGTACTCTCTTGAAATGAATTAATGGTCTTAAACCAACGAACTGTCATTTCCAGACAACTTCCAATTCACAGATTTCTCCACTCAACAGAATTAGTTGCGAAGCGTCCTCTGTTTTTGCCTTAAGCTAGGTTCGAAATAGTTTCAACCTCCACATAACGTATGCAGAGTATGTGCAAAGCGAAGGAAGGATTTATAACGATGTGTATTACCGGCTGGATAAAGCCAAGATACAAAATTATTATTGTAATAAATATGTCCCGTATTTTAGTAATATTTTCTTTTATTCAGAAAAACTTGTTTCACTTGCTTCGACTTAAGACAAACAGTATTCCGTCCCTTATTTTTAAAAATCAATAAGCAATAATTTATCTAAGAAAAATTGAGCACTTTAATATTCTTTTAATATTGGTTAACGTAATTTTGCAATTTCCATTCTGTCAATATTTCTCTCGAGTTTCGTGTTTAAATTTCGAAAATGGGTCACTTTGCTGTTTACATTTCAAAGAAACCTTTCCCCTGGTAAATTTACTCTTGTGTAAAATTCTGGTTTATATTTTTCGCATTAGTAAATTCAATTTTTTAATTTCGTGTTTAAGTAAAAAATTACTTGTCTTATTAATTTTGTCATGGGTGTCAAATTTTAGTAAAATGTGTAAAATGTATAAAGAGGTCAGAGCATAATGTTTACGCACAAATATACGGACATGGCCCTTGACAATCTCAAGGGAAATTGTTGTAGACATCGAACCGCACACTGCCATTAACTTTACGGTCATATTGCGGTGTTTTCGTGGCATGCAAACACTTTAGGTTCCATTACGGACTTCAGCCTATACTAACTATTAAACGGAAATATTTCCTCTCTCTCAAAGCCACTAGTGCAAACTTATCTAGGATATTCTCCATTACAAAATTATTTGCAATTGCTAATGTTGACTATACGGTAATACTTTAATGCTCACATTGTTTTAATTTTTTTTCTTCAATAAATGATGCAATACTGCTTTGCGGTAATATTTTATTATGAACATTTAGACCATTTTTGCACAAATAAAAAAATAATAAATGTTTTTCTTATTATGGGCGCTAAATACCTTTAAATTCCTTTTTAATTAATGATTTAATATTTCAGTATCTTAATAAAAAAATCCGTTGGTTTAGAGAAGAATTTACTACTATTGCAATTTAAAATTATCTATCGATAATCTCCAAAATTCCAAATCGATGAAACAATAGATTCTTATAATACTTTTTGTTTCGAATTAGAAACGAGAACTTCAAAAACTAGTTTGTAGTTGTTAGCAATTTAATTTAAGAATGTTGGAGTAAATTGAAAGCAGAAGAAAACTACTTTGAGACAACTTTTTTTCGTATAGCCATTACAAGAAAACGTGCTTGGAATATTTCATACACATTTTCCAACAAGTCCATTTTAACTTTAATTTACTTTTCGTCCTGTCAAATTTTGTAATTGCGCCAACATTTTATACACGAAAAATTGTATATTTTATTCGAGGAGAAAATAATAAAAGAACAAACTTTTTGTGATGATCGAATTATCCGAATATGAAAGCTGTGATTTACATATTCTCTCTCGAGTCTGCAGACGCGACTTTATATTATTTGTTTTGTATTTTGAGAAAAGTAAAATCTGCCCGGAGAGACAGAATTATAGAAAGCAAGCTTGATTACGCGTCGCTTCTATTTTGTTACTACTGACACGACGCTGCCTCAATGTATGTTTCACTTGGTGAAAGTTCACTTTACGTTCTCTTCACGCCCGTCTGCAGATCAGTCGCGTTTGCACTATTCAAGTCTTTTGGCATTCTGGACGGTTGATTAAGCTTCGGGTGAAGAGGTGATAATGTAGCTGAGAAATAAACCAGAGGCTGGCATTTCGTCAACCGTGGCAAAATTCCTGCAACTCGTTTCGCCCTTTAATCACTAGCTGACGAGTCGCATACATTAGAGAAACTGGAACGACACACTTACAAAACGAATCTTCTCCATGAAACCCAAATTCTGAGTGTGCACCAACAGTACTCATATTCAAACTCTGGAATGACTCGCCTCTCATCAAAGAGACGTCCACGTGATCGTTAAGTAACGTAACTTTCGTCAAGGAAAGGCTATAATTATTTTTGCTGAAGAGAATTTCACTCAAAGAAACTCCCTTTAACATCAGTTTGAACATGTGCAATTTTCATCAGAGTTTAGTGAAACTAAACAAGTAATCAGAAAAATATATTTTAATTTTTTTTTATTTTTAAATTTCCTTTTCATTATTGGAAAAAATCTGGGTCATTGAATAAATTTGTAATAGATAAAAAAAAGTTTTTTTTTTTGTTTTGTATATTTTCCAGTCAACGTAAAGTATCTAAACTCTGGAGAGTGAGACTAGGTGACAAGTATGGTCAAAAGAAAAAAAATATTGCAGCTAGTGTGAATCTCTGCGCTAGTTTGCAGTATACACTCGACCTATTTGATAAGCATCCCTCTCTTCTTTTCTCCACTGCATACCGCATCGAACTTAATTATTACTAGACAATATAAAGCGAAACAAGGCAATTTTATTTCATTCAGTCATCCACCTCTGTGTACATACAGTGGAGCTCTGACCTAGTTCACGCTGATAAAGGAGCCGAATAATATTTTCCATGTTATGACAGATTTCAACTTGAAAAAATTTAAATATACAATACATTTCACTAGAGACTGTGAATGATTACTCGTTTTTAAATTTATATAGTCAATTATTTTTAGAATTAATTTAACCTTTTTTGTCTATGCTGACAAATCTTAACATTTGAATCCTGTTGATATTTGCAAGAATTATTTAGAAGTCTTAATAACCTTTTAAATATAACGTCTAATGGGCGCCAAATACCTTTACCTTTACCTTTACCTTTTTTCTCTTTCTTCCTTTTAGAAACATTCATTATTAAAAAATTGGATTATTTCGAAGAAATAAAAAGGGAAATTATGTGGTTTTCGTTTTACACGCGAATTCAGGTGATTGTTAAGACAGGTTTGTGCATTAGACGATTGGTCGTGTAAACGAAATGCTTCCGCTTTCTGGGATCGTTTGACATGCACAGTTACATGACACTCGACTACTTGGGTATTCAGAGAGAAGTGTTACTTCGTTTGTGTGCGGAAATGAATACTGCAATTTTCAACACACCCTACACGAGCATACGTTTGTCTCAAGTATCTTGAATAAGTTGACCTTATTTCTTCGGAGATTGTAGACTTTTTTTTGAAAAAGAATATAGTTGCCAGACTTTTCACATACACACACACGTGTTGAGTACCTTTAGTCTTCACGCTCGCGAAACATCTAGTGCACTTCTAACACTCGGTCAAGATAAACCTAAAAATCGCTTGGAAAAGCTAAAAACACAGACGGGGGCAGCAAACTTTTTTAAATTCAAATTTGTAACATAAATTTTTTTTTAAAATATAAGCTTGAAGTTTTTATTCTGATTACTTACAATTATCTTTATTCTAAAAATCTAAATTTTAATCTAAATTTTTGTTACAGAGAGATGCTCTAAACTTGGAACCGAGCAATGTTGCAAATTGCGTTTCAAAAGGAAAATCAGAGGTGAGTTTTTAATATACAAAATTTTTCCAAATTGAAAACTTTTTTTCAACTGGACAATTATTTCATTTGGTTTCAATTTGCTTTCAGCACTTCGACTGTCGAAATCATATTCGAGTGATACAACCTATCGGTGATGGGAACCGATTTTACGTCTGCGGCACAAACGCTCACTCACCAAAGGATTGGGTGATTTACGTAAGTTTTAATTCTTCTCCAAATATTCTGTCCATGCAAAAAAAGTATCTATTGTTTTCTGGAATTAAAATTTTGCAATTAAAATTTAATGTCCATTCGTGAGATACCAGTGTGAAAGGCAATTTGATTTGGGAAATTTAGTGCCCGTTCACTTTTGATAGAGTTCGTAAGCAAGGGGTTATCTAGCGAAACGAACGCACTGTGCGTTTAAGTACCCGTGTAACGACACCGAAAAATATACGAGCTCGGTGATGTTTGAAGATTACGAGTCCCAAGTGCACTGTAGAGATTGGATAACGACTAACTCTTAAAGGCTCGATGCTTCCGAAAAAAGGAACAAGTTTAAAAGAAACTTAATGTCTTTCTTCAAACGTTATAATTTACACTTTGTAATGCATTTCTTTGAATGTAATTAATTGCATATTAGACGTACCGCAGAATTAGTTTTTATTTATCGAATTCTGTGTGAGATTCGATTTCAAAAATTCTGGGGGCCAGATACATTTAAATTACTTTTTCGAGTTTAATGAAACCAATTGTTGACAATATTTAGAATCTGTTACAATTATACTCTAATAAATTTCTACGGTTACGGATCAAAAATTATATCTCAATTCTAAGTAGATAAAGGTTTAATTGTTTCTTTGTGGGGGACAAATATTTTTAAATTCCTTTATCGGATTTGATGAAAACATTATTTGAAAATTAACGTTTTTGTAATAATTAGAAAGTATTTAAGTTACTATAGAGTCTTCGGGAAATTTAATTGGATGTTTCTGATACCATTAAGTGTATAATTATTAAAATCGCGAAATGCGATCAAACTTTTTATATTTCAAAGAATTTTCTAATCTTTAGGTCTAAAATCGTAGTAACGGATTGTTTTTAAAAAATGTTATTCATAGAATGCTTTGAGAGCCAAGTAGGTTTAAACTTTTTCGTCACTTTTGACACGATCTATGTTAATACTAAGCTGAACTAATTTTTGTTTTAAAATTTTGCTTACAGAGTAATCTTACTCATCTGCCTAGAAATGAGTTTGTACCAGGTGTTGGAACAGCAATTGCGAAGTGTCCTTATGATCCTGCGGACAACTCGACAGCAATTTGGGTCGAAAGGGGAAATCCAGGAGATTTGCCAGGTCTTTATTCTGGCACCAATGCGGAATTTACTAAAGCCGATACTGTTATTTTCCGAACGGATCTGTACAATTTGACGACGAGACGAAAGGGTTACAATTTCAAGAGGACGATCAAGTACGACTCAAAATGGCTGGACAGTGAGTAAAATTTTTTCTATCCTCCTCTTCTCATTTCTCAAAATTTTAAACATTTCTCTTCCATCTTCTCTTACATATTTGTCATAATGTCATATCTCTATAATGACCAAAAGATATTGAAATTTAATGTGGAAATTTTCAGCAAGGCCTAATGAATATTGTATTAAGGGAGGGATAAAAAAGGGATGTTTGAAATTCCGCGAATTTCTTGTCAGTTTCGCAGTGCGGGACAAACTCATAAAACCGGGTGTACATTTTCAAGTACAACCTTCGAATTACGGTCCTAAATGAACGCGTAAGCGGGTGCTTGGGGTGTCACTCCAGTACGCCTATTTCATTCGGCGGCAATTCCTTTAGTTGTAGGGGCGTTAGAGAAAGTGTGGAGGCACAAGGAAGGCTAAAAAGGAGGGTTGGGTAAAGTTGCTTCTACTACACGTTTTCAGAGAGGGTACAAGTTCCTAGGAGCTTGGTAATAAAATAACACCCCTCTGGTCTCCAGTTAAACGTCCTATTCGAACCCGCTCCTTTAAAAGCGTAAATTTACCTTTTCGCGTAAGAGACAGTTCGAGTCAAGGTTAATCAGTTTCTTCAAAGTGTAGATTTTCTATGACATTTGGATTCAGTTATACATTACAAACTATTTTTAGAACATTATTTACTTCTCGTAGAGTCATAATTATTTTTTATTACTGTTGTATCAATTTCGAAATGAAATTGCCGAGAATAAATGTTCCTCGCGCGGCTTAATGTAATGAAAAATGAAGTTTCACCCTCAGAGAGTGAGAGAGAAATGTACTCCGAGAAGTTGACTCTTGAGCGGAGGGGTCTGGTGATGCTAGTGGCGGTTATCTCATTAATTGAATCCAGTATATGCGATTCCTTGAATTTACGTTCCTCATTCCTTATTCGTCCTCGGTATTGCAAAAGCACCCTTTCCCTCACTTTCGTACTATATATAGACCCTTGAAACTCACAGGATGCATGATTAGCCATTTGTTTCGTCGTTTAATTTGAAGCTGGTATTCCCTCGCCTCCTAACGCCCTTTCGCGTTACCATCAAGAGCCATTCTCTGCATCGAGTTTGTCTATTAGCAAAGGCGTTGATTAAATGCGCGAGACCAACAGAGAGAAAGATAGATTCACGTAGTCGACCTCGTTCAGAGCAAAGTACCTACAATGAAGACTGATGTGATTCAGGATGAGGGAGAGAAAGAAAACAAGAGATAAATAGAGACAGGGTTAACAAGCTCTGAATAACTGGCTGACGAGAAGACCATCCACTTTCACGGGTCTCTGCACATGCGAAACGACATTTTCCAAAGTGTCGCGTGCCGGATTTAGGGAAAAAAAATCTGCAGCTATCGATAAGAAGACTGTGGATTCTATGAAGAGTTAATTATTTTTCTTTACTTTTTTCCGATTTTCGATTCTCCGTTACGTACATCACTTTTTAATTACATTATCAGATTAAATTCTGAATAAAATCCGAAGTAATCCAGAAATTGTACTCTTGGGAATTAGTCTGAAATTTTTACTACACGTTGTCTGTTATTTCCGACAGCAATTTTGCTAATAAAACACACCAGTACAGTGTTATTAATCACTAATATATTTCCAATTCACAAATATTTTTCTTCTGTTAAATAAAACTCAATATCAAATAATTGTATCAATTTATCAAATAACTTCCATAGGGAACGAAGAGACAAAATTGAATTACAACCTGTAGGTTGGAAGCATCAGTCAATCGATTCAATCTTCTAATTGCTATAAGGGATAATAACATTCTTCGCAAACAAATCAGTGGACCACAAAAGGAATAAAGGAAACATTAGATTAATGAAAATTCATTGTTTTGAAATTTCAATTTAGCGAAAAAAGTAATTCAATCAATGATAATCATTAAATTAACGACTACATTAATTAAAAGAGTCTATTCACTCCCAATACCAGAAATAATAATTTTCGAGAAATAGGAATTGTTTTTCAAAAAAAATGATATTCTAAATATTTGATTCTTTTTTTGTATGAGAAAGAAATTTATATATTTTGATGGATAAAAGATGAAAAATTGGCAAACGTTCTTGGTAATTTATTCCAAGTCAATAAGATCCCTCAATTGCCTCAGAATCCAAATTAAACTGAATAATCCTCTGTGAATTCAAATTTCGATTACAGATTCTATGTAATTTAACAAGGTTTCCAATTCACTAAAGTTATTACATAGATTCAATTATTTTCAAATTTTTCTATTCTTCTAAAATCGAGAAAGATTTATTTTACTTTAGGAAATTAAAATTTCATTATTGTGAGATAAATTTTCAAAGTGCTGTAAAATTCTTTCTAGTATTCATGTACGGAGTACGGTGGGATAATTATCAGCACAGTTGATGATGTTTCTGTAAATAATGAAGGGATAATGTCCAGGAGATAATGTTCAATTTTGGTGAAATGAGTGTTAGCAACTCGGAAATAGTTCGCTCGTAAAGGAATTCAATAAAGTTTAATGCATATTAGCAAACACAAATGGTTATCCATTGCTTACGGCAAACATAAAAGAGAAAATAATTTATGGAGGGTTATATTTTTCTCTAAATGAACATTCTCTAAAAGTACTTTTTCTTCTCTTTTCAATATAATAAAGTGAAAATTTAGTAATTCTTTTTTCAATTTTTATTTTACAGAACCTGATTTTGTTGGTTCGTTTGACATTGGCCAGCATGTCTTCTTTTTCTTCCGAGAAACCGCAGTCGAGTACATCAATTGCGGAAAGAGTGTCTATTCACGTGTAGCTAGACTATGCAAGAAAGACACCGGTGGAAAAAATATTCTCGGGCAAAATTGGGCGACCTACTTAAAGGCAAGATTGAATTGCTCCATTCCTGGCGAGTTTCCTTTCTACTTCAATGAAATTCGTAAGTATATTTTATATCTAGGTTAATGATGTCTTCATTCTTTTATTCACAAATATTTTCGCGTTGCAATTAGAATCAGGGTTGCCACCAAAATTTAATTTTCTTTTTCCCTGATTTACAGACAAAATTTTCACTTTTTCCCTGACACTAAAGAATATTCTGATTCACTCTAAAAATTATTAGATACTCAAAAAAATGTTCTATTACATTTGTTTACAAATTTCCTTAATTTTAAAATTATTCCAAAACACCAATAAATTCATTTTTAAATAAATACTTTATCTTCTACTTTTCCATAGAAATTACAATTTTCAAAAATTTCAAATTCAAACATAAAATAAAAATAAAAAAAAAATAAAAATAATTATTTTTATTATATTAATATTATTACTGCAACTCCTTCAAAATTATTTTCATCATTTCAATATAATTATTATATTCTAGAATTTTTAACTAATATTTTTCTTTAAATCAATTACTTTTTATAATTTTTAAAGAAGTCATATCCTATTTTTCGTATTTTTCCAAATTAAGTAGTAAAAATAAATTTTAGTCAGACTTCATTTTCTATTTACCGTATTTTTCCAAAATAAGTAGAAAGAACAAATTTTAGTCAGACATAATTTCATATTATACAAATTTTTCTAAATTAAGTAGTAAAAATAAATTTTAGTCAGACTTCATTTCCTATTTTTCCTATTTTTCTAAAATAAGTAGTATAAACATGTTTCAGTCAGACATAATTTCATTCTGTCATGTTATACGTTGTAAATTTGCAGTTTTCTAAATTATGTCTGAAGAGGTCTGTCATCGATGCACGAAAAGCTCAACATTTGAAATTAAATAAATCATTATAAATGTGGATTCTCAACAAAAACAACCTTTAAAGTCTTTACTAAATTTTAAAAAATTCAAGAAACAAATTTTACATCTTTACTATAATTTCATATTTTTGGAATTTTTCTAAATTAAGTAGTAAAAATAAATTTTAGTCAGACTTAATATCCTATTTTTCGTATCTTTCCAAAATAAGTGGAATAAACAAGTTTTAGTCAGACATAATTTTATATTTTTCGAATTTTTCTAAATCAAGTAGAAAAAATAAATTTTAGTCAGACGTGTCCTATTTTTCGTATTTTTCCAAAATAAGTAGTAAATACATGCTTTGGTCAGACGTTATATTCTATTTTTTGTATTTGTCTAAATTAAGTAGTTAAAATAAATTTTAGTCAGACTTCTTTTCCTATTTTTCGTATTTTTCCAAATAAGTAGAAAAAACAGGTTTTGGTCAGACATAATTTCATATTTTTCTAAGTTAAATAAAAAATTATACAAGTTTGAGTCAGACGATATCTCATTTTTTGTATTTTTCAAATCCATTTGTTTTCAATTCAATTTTACGTGAAATTTCGATTATTCGAAAATTCTTCAATTAAATATAGAAAATAATTGAATTTTACAATGAATTTTGTTAAAATTTTTGAAAATAATTTAATTTTGTCAAAAAAATTTTCTATTCGTTTATAAAGATAATTGAAATGTTGACAATTTTTTTTTAGATTTTTTGAAAATAATTGAATTTCTGCGACGAATTTTATTAATTTTGAAAATAATTTAATTCTAATGATGAACATTGTTATTTATGAAAATAATTGAATTTTATAAAAGTTCCTGAATATAATTGAATTTCGGCGAAGAATTTTGCGATTTATAAAGATAATTAAAATGTTGACAAGAATTTTGTTTTTAATTTTTGAAAATAATTCAATTTCTGGAAAGAATTTTGATATTTATTAAGATAGTTGAATTCTTTCAAAGAATTGCGTTCAAATTTTTAAAATTTAATTTGATTTTAATAGAATTGAAATTAAAATTTTTCAAAAAAATACTTTATTAAATGATTTATTAGTAATAACTATATGGGGTTCTTCAATAGAATTAAGTTATTTTAAATAAATTATTGTCGGAAGTAGCAGAAATTTATGATTTTTTTGAATTCGTGGTAATTTCGTAGTTTATAAGACAAACAAAAAAGACACAAAAATTCAGAATTTTCTTATAAATTCTAACCATTTAATTTTTTCCAGTACTTTTAATAAAAATCCCTGACATTTCCCTGATTTACCGGATCAATTCTACTATCCCTGTCTTTTCCCTAAGTTCCCTGATTTCCCTGACCTATGGCAACCCTGATAATGCTTATGAATAGTTTGTTGGCGTCCCGAGTGGCGCTGATGTCAACGGGACGCCAACGAACTACTCTTGTGGATCTATTTTTTAGATTTGTTTTTAAAAAAAATAATTTTCTCAACAGAGAGTGTGTACAAAGTGCCAGGAGATGATACGCACTTTTATGGCACTTTTACAACCTCAACGAACGGTTTAATGGGTTCTGCCATCTGTTCATTCCACATCGATGCCATTCAAGATGCCTTCCGTGGAAAGTTTAAAGAACAGGCAACCAGTAGTAGCGCGTGGCTTCCTGTTTTATCAAACAAGGTTCCTGAGCCAAGACCCGGTCAATGCGTCAATGACACAGAGACACTTCCGGATACTGTTCTCAACTTCATTAGGTCACATCCGCTCATGGACTCGGCGATATCGCACGAGAATGAGAAACCCGTTTTCTACAAGAGGGACGTCATGCTCACTCGACTTGTGGTCGATAAATTGCGTATCGATTTTGTTGGAATGGATTTGGACTACACTGTCTACTATGCCGGTTCCAGTGAGTATTGCAAATTAAGTTTCTTTTTCTATATGATTTAAATGATATGGTTGTCTCTCAATATATGGTTGTCAATTGTCTCTCTTGCAAGGCGATGGAAGAGTACATAAAGTGGTTCAATGGGTTGATAGTAATGGTGAATCGCAATCGATTCTCCTTGATGTGTTCGACGTTACTCCAGGGGAACCAATTCAAGCGATGGAAATATCGAAGGAACACAAAGCCATTTACGTGGCGTCTGATCATCGAATAAAGCAAATCGATTTGGTAATGTGTTCCCGTCGCTATGACAATTGTCTTCGATGTGTTCACGATCCTTATTGCGGTTGGGATAAGGATACAAACACCTGTAAACCCTACGCTCCCGGGTGAGTTTATTTTGCGAATGTAGATTCGGCTTAATTTGACTCGTGTTTAAGATGAGTTTACATTGTTTTTGTCTTCAGACTTTTACAGGACGTGTCGAATAGTACGGCCGATGTTTGCGACAGCAGTGTGGGCAAACGGCGACTTGTGGTGACGTGGGGTCAATCGGTGCATCTCGGTTGTTTTGTGAAGATGCCAGAGGTTCTTGAGAACCAGGAGGTCAGATGGTATCATTACAGTAAAGAGAAGGGAAGGTATCAGATAACGTACAAGTACGGCTCGGGTGGCGAGAAATTCATCGAGACGTCAGAAAAGGGTTTGGTTATTGTTGGTGTTAATGATCAGGACGCGGGAAGGTACGACTGCTGGCTCGGAGGTGCTCTTCTTTGCTCCTACAATATTACCGTTGACGCCCATAGATGTTCGGCACCTGCCAAGTCAAATGACTACCAGAAGATTTACTCCGACTGGTGTCACGAATTTGAAAAGTACAAGTCGGCTATGAAGAGTTGGGAGAAAAAGCAAGCGGTGAGTACTGTTTTCCCATTTCCTCTATTCATAAATACTTTTTTTATTAATAATTCTCAGCTGTGTAAAATTGAGAACCCCATCCTAACACACGCACCGAAAGCACACCATTTCTCAACTTGAAAAAGAAATTTTTTTCATTTGTCTTGTTAACAAAAGGTGGACAAATAAAAATTTTTGTTGAACAAACGTGGACTAATTGTGGACAAACGAATGCAATAAAGAAATTGACAAAATTTTGATATGGGGCTCTCAACTTCAGACAGTTCTATTCATAAATGCTTCTTTTAAAGAGATATTAAAGATTCGATTATCGGGTTCAAAGTGCAAGGACTGAATATTCATCGTCGCGTGACTTTTTCGTTTCAGCAATGCGCGTCGAGGCAAAACGACAGCAACCAAAATCTACATACAAACGAAGTATATGGAACGCCTCTAGTGTGATGAAGTCGAGCGCTAGATCCGTCGTCGATTCGAGATGACGACTCGATAATTCGTATAAGCATCCTACCGGCGAATCATGGTCCAAGTGTATTCGGATCGAGAGGTACGGAACTCTTGCTGACCGCCTGCAGCTACGTTTATCATCGTCTCTTACGACCAGACATTCGCTAAGTAAATTAAAATATTAGCCAATAAGAATTTAAACGAATGATCACTTGGAATCAAGTGCCACGGTGCTCGGATGTTAACTTTCTTTCTTTCAAATTTTTTTTTTATTTTTGCTTCTTGTAAATATCTCGAAGGGGAGACTTCGCTTCGGCAACGATGCGCGAGCACCAGTGGATGCCAAAGTAAGTGTTCTTAAGGGCAAAAGGCAGCGAAGACATGGAATCTAAAAATCAATGTCACCGTTTCCTTATCGCTATTAAAACACGGGACGTAAATGTTTTTCCCCTAAAGAAAAGAAGAGTTTTTTTCAAACCTGTGATAGTAATATTAGCGATTAGGAGTCGTTGACGATTTTTTTAAGGAATGTCCTGCTGGCGCCCTCTCTCGGAGAGAAACAAGGCAGAAAACAATCAAGATTTGCGTGATTTCCCCGGGAAATGTCTCGTATATTACGTATTTAAAAAAATAGTTTCTAAGCAATTGGTTAAGCGGCAAGAACTTAAAAAAGAACGAGCACCTGAATAAGTCTCGGACATGCTAAATCACAGAGGTTACATATGAGATTAATATTAATGAATTCGTTATTAAAAAAATGCGCGACGGTTGAGTCCCTCGATTTCCATCTTTAATTAATTTTATTTTCCCAACTAAAATATCAAAACTCGCGGGCTGAGTGTTATTTTTCTTTCAGTCGCGCTTCCATTTCTTCCTTTTTTCCGTTCTATCATCTCTTTATTATTAAATGATAATTAAATTAATTTTATCTCAGAATTGACACTCGAAGGTGCTACACGGCAATCGAAATAAAGTCCATATCGATTTTTAAAAAACAAAATCTGCGGACATTCAAGTATAATTGTACATAACGAATTAAGAAAAAAAATTCACGTGTACACTTTGTAGGTAACTTTATAATATAAGTGTAGATTCATGTTCGCTTATTAGTTACTGATTTCCGACATGTTTGATCTCGGAAAATTACTAAGTGAACCAGATTGCGATTATTCCGCAACATTTGCTGAATTACGATAATAATTCCCAGTTGGATTTTTGATTTACTTGATCACTCTTAATTCAAAAAAATTTTTATTCAGTTATACTAAATTTCTACAAAATAAAAGAGTGATGGAAGAAAATCAATGAATTTCGCAAAGGAAAGTAGAGAGGTCATGACACCTTTCTGTGAATTTTTTTTTCCTTATTAAAGCAGTGATAGAATTCTTGCCCAATAGATTTTTCATGTAAATAATTATAAAAAACGCGTGTGGAGGCAAATTTTTTATTTTCTTCAAAAACGCTCGGCAGAATTTTCGCCCGCGCAGAGCGTTCTTTTCGGGCGATCGAGGGTACCACATAATAATGTCTAATATTCTAGGAAAAAAAACATGTAATTCATTAAGTTCTGTACAAAGTCGTTCTCCATATGAATTAACATAAGATTTAATTTTATACTTCGATAGTTATGATGCGTGCGAACGAATGAAATAGAAAACCGGAAAAAATATGTGTAAATGTTGAAAATAATTGGTAAACTAATTCTTGAATATGTACTTATTGCGAGCTTCAAAAAAAAAAAAGTATTGAATAGTATTATAAGGTAAGAAACGATTCTTTTTATTTAAGGACTAATAGGCCCATTTTCGAATTTATTTTTTTTTTTGCGTATATTTAAAAATAAAGCTCGACTCATGAAGAAAAATCCAACGACTGAAATTACATAAAAGAAATAGAAAATGCGCGTGATTAAAAATAGAAATGACATTTAAAGTAGAATTGACTAAATACTAAACTTAAAGAAAATAGAAATGACTATAAAAATGATATTGAATCTAAGGAACTGCTTGAAACAGAAATGAATTTAAAAAGTGATGCATTTTCATATCACTGTAAATTTTCTTTTAATTCACCTAGTGAATTAAATAATAAAATCACGTGATCCTAATCGAATGATTAGTTTGATACAAAATTAACCGGTAAAAGTTTCTATAATCTCGACTATTGATATGCATTACTGAAAAATAGGATAAATTTCATAGAAAAGGGCAAGAAACTCAGATAAAAAATTGGATAATAAAAAAAATTATTTGGAATGAAAGAGAAGTATCTCGAAGATTTGTGCACGCATAAACATGTAATCTGTGAAAAGTGGTACGTGTGTGGAACGAATCTATAGATGACGGATTTGGTCAACTGTCGTGCTCACTTTTCTTTCTATAAATTCAAATTTTATGATTCTAATTGCTAATTAAAGTGATCAAATCAGATTATCAAGTCCGCCCTCTTATTATATTATATAATAAAGTAATTAAAAACACATCCTTTTATTGCTGAGAGCTCAACATTTAGATTTTTGTTATAAAAAAAAAAGATAAAATTGTAAATGAAAAAGAGAACTCAATTTACTCTTGTATGTCGAGCTTTCAGAGAAAGGGTCGATGTGATTACAGAAAAGCAATCTAAGATGAAACCCTAATGTTGTTAGACCTATTATTTATAAGATTACTAAATACTGTATGTTATTTCCTGAGCGGTTGGCGCAACGGAACGTCGAATATTCCCAGACTATTGCTATCGATCGTCAAAGAGCAATGTATTCAAACTTCTGGTTTCATATTTACTATTTTATCTATAGAACTGTTTTTAAAAATCGACTTTTTTTCTTACTTTTTATATAAAAATTTAAAAAAAAATTATTGTAAATTAGGGGATCTTATTCCGTAGCGTCAATCGAAGAACAAATTAGGCTAGCTCGGTTAGTGTGCGCGGTATGATATTTAAAAAATGGGTTACTGCCGTAAAAAAATGACTTATTACGATAAAGATGAAAGAATATAGCTGATAACGACTTATTAAATATATCATTAGAACTAGCCGACTAAAAATTATGTTAAATTTTCCTTTTTGAATATTTGACACATTTTATTTTATACATCATCATCATTATCATCATCATCATCATCATCATCATCCCTAGGGTTTGCAATACATTTCATATTTGATTAAATTCTCGTTTCTCTATGTCTTTTTATAATCCCTTCAAACCTTTTTCATATAATTTCAAATTTGTTCATTTTCATTTTCATCCACGATGATCAATTTTATTACCAATTCAATAGAGGGATTTTATTACGTTTATAAACTGATAATTTACACCGTGGCACTCGTCGATCGAAAAACTCTTTTATTTCTTCATCCTCGATAACATGAACGAGGGGGGAGGGAAGAGGATTCAAATTGTGATTCGTGAAAATCGCAAAGCATTCCGTGCACGGGAATTCAATTTTGTTCGATCGCATAAAAAGAATGTCTCACATCGCTCAAAGAAAATTTCATGGAAATGCAAAACGCGCATACTTGACTGAAATCTTAAAAACAAAAAAAAAAAAACATTGAACGTTGTGATAAATGCCGCATTGACCAAGGACATTTAATCGCTCACATATCGCGATGACAAAGATGACAAAATTGGGGAAATTTTCAAAAATTTCTATTCACAACTCTTGAAAAGTTAAGTTAAAAGTTGAAAAAAGTTTTTTACGTTATTCGTTTTAATTTTAATATTCGTTTCGCTTTTACTCTCAGTTTTCCCTTTTAATACTGGCATTCATTTAGCTTTTACTTTTTCACCTTGATTTTTCTATTCTTTAGCCTTTGGACAATTACTTTTTATTTCTTTGAATAAAAAAAAAAAGAAAAAAAACAGTATTGGAAGAAAATTTCTCTCTCCGATTCCACATTCATACGTACTTTTATTTTTCATTTCTCATTATTATGCGACGTTATTATTTTTTTTTTATTATTAACAAAATAATGATGCAACGAGTATTTTTCATTTTGAAAATATCTTGCATTAAGAAAAACCCTTTTTAGATATTCCTCTAACTACCTAAACATCCAATCGCTATTTTTATCAAAAGAAAACATGTTAAAAATCTTTAATAGTTATCCATTGTTCACTATTGCTATAATAAAGTTTTGCTTTAATAAATTATCGGTCAGCGTTTTATTTATATTTCCCCATCCTTTGCACTTTAAAATAGTTTCTCTACACATTGAAAATTAATTTTTTTACTTATTTAAATAAATAAAAAAAAATTAGTTTTAACAAATAGAATTCTATCTGTTTTTCCTATATTTTATAAAATTTACTAGCTAACACGATGTCTTTTAAGCAGTTGAACTGTATGAATATTAAAATTTAATTTTAAAGTGAATAATAAATTTAAAAAGTTGAAATGATTTAATAAGATGAAAAAATAATATAATGAAATTACGATAAGCAACGATATTGTTATTAATACCGGTTTTAATTTACTTATTCTTGATAGATATTAATTTAATTATTTTTCATTAAATTTATTTCAATTTCCTGATAGCAAAAAGTGAGTGATATTTTCAGGTTAAGAAGAAATATTTGCAAGTTATTTAAATATTTACAACTTTTAATACAAAAGGTAAATAAGATTATCAAATTTAATGGTAAGTATAGTTATATATACTTTTAAAAAATTCTTTTTCGAGAGATTAATACATTTTTGATCCCACTTCAATATGAAGACCTCAAATATGTTAAAATAACTGGAACTCAAATTAAACAGTACCTACTTAAATAGTCAGTATATTTAATAAGTTATATGTTAAACTTCCAAAAATATTACAATCGTTTCTTAAAAATATGGCAAATTATTTATATTTCTTATTCATAATTTAATCGAAATTAAGCAATCTTAAATAAAACTCAATAATAATATTATTCCGACTCTGTGGAGAATATAAATTCCATTGATAATTTAATTGTTGCATTAATCTAAAATTAAATGCCAATTTTTAATTATAATGTTATTATAAAATTTTAATTATTAATACACTACAAGAAAATAAATAATAATAATAATAATAATAAATAAATTCAAAAAAATATTAAGATAATGATCATAATTTTATTATAATGAAAGACGATCGACTGATAAAATCATTATTTTTGCAATAAATTCAGATTAACAATAATAATAATGGTTTAAAAAATTTTCAATCTTTGCAACCAAAGTGAATACCATAGTCCAGTTATCAAATCTGAGAATTTATAACGGAAATAAGGGTCATTAGTATAGCAGCAAAGTTAATCTATTTTTCATAAAACTAATATTTTATAAGTAGAGTTGAAAAAAAGTTTATTTTACTAATCATTTCTAGGAAGAGTGAAATTGGAAAAAAGAGGGAATTTATTTAACTGTTGATTTCCAGGAAAAATGAAATTAGAAAAAAAGAGGGAAAACAGTTTAAATTGCGGAAACTTTACACATGAGAATTATTAATATTGTATTTATAATGCAAAAAGAAATTTTTGATAATAAGTAATAAAAGATAGACAGTATTCTAGAACTATAAGTTAATTTCTTTTAAACATCAAGTCGCGTTGTAGACCTGTAGTCGCCAGATTGTAAATAGAGTGTCACGTTTTGCGTCTGCATAAATATATATCAATTGAAAGTTTCTTAATGAAATGACTAACGTCAGATGCATATTACGTCACAGAGAGCATATACGTCAAAACTAGGGTCATTGCTCTAAACAATAAAGATTATGCTTCTACTAGACATTACATGACACTAGATTATAGCAGGGATCGAACTAGGTCCGTAAATAATGGTTAATATCCGTAAATTTGATTGAAGTCCGTAAAAGTTAAATTTTTTTAAAAAACGTCCGTAGAGTCCGTAATTTTTTTTGAAAAAGTACAAAAAGTTTGTAAATTATACAATATAATTTTGGAGAATTTTTTAGAAGTTACAAATGATTGCAGAAATTCAATTATTTTCTAAAGTTAATAAAATTCTTCGCAAAAATTCAATTATATTCAAAAATTTTTTTAAATTCCTGTCAAAATTTCAATTATTTTCAAATATTTTCCTCATTTCTATGTTTTTATAATTATCTGCTATTTTAATAAAATTTCCCAAAGAAATTCAATTATATTTAAAAAAAAATTTAATAAAATTCTATGCAAACATTTAATTATTTAATTATTATTTAACTATTTCATAAATAATAAAAATTTCACAGGAATTCAATTATTTACCAATTTTTTATAAATTTCTTCGCAATAATTCAATTATTTTCGTAAATAATAAAATTCTTTTTAGGAATTCAATTATTTTTAATAATTTGTTGATAAAATGATGTATAAGAATTCAATTCTAAGAAACATTCAATTATTCAATAAATTTTCTAATATATAATTGAAGAATTTCCGCGAATAATTGATGAAATTTCGTAAAATTGAATTGAAAACAAATTAGAAATTTAGAAGTTTAGAAATTCTCAAAGAACTTCTTCAAAAAATATTAAAAATAATTTATTTAAAGTAGAATTTTAGTTAAAAATTCTAGATAATAATAATTGAATTGATATTATGAACACACTAAAAAAAAAGTTTTACTTTCAGCCTATTTTTGAGGCTGAATTTAAGATGTAAACGGAGTCAGCCCCGTTAAACAAGGACAGACTTATGTGAAATACATGGGCTGAATTTAAGGTGTAAACGGAGTCAGACTTTTTTTTCCTGTGAAAATAATTTTGAAGAACTTGTTATAAAACATGAAGAAGTTGATTAGTTGATCCATTTCTTCATGTTTTGTAGTTTTGAAAAATTTAATTTATAGTTTTAAGTAAAATAAAATGTTTTCTTATTTGACTCGGACTGGTTATATTTTTGTCAGTAATTGGTCTGTAAATGGTCCGCAAAATCTGTATTTTTAAATACTTTCACCGGTTCGAGCCCTGTTATAGATTCCAGACAGAAAATTTTATTCTTACGAATTTCTTAACAACAGAGCGATAATTCTTCAAATTTGATATTTTTTTTTTTGGATATTATGTTAAATTTTGTAGATGAATAGTTAAAAATTGTTTCCTAGTTTTTAATTTTAATAAAATAAAAACTCGCGATTTCTAAATAGAGTGATAAAAACGATAATTGCTTCTCCATTTTCAGACCAGTTAAATTCAAAGCCTTTAATGGTGTGAGAAATTCACGTTGCTAAAAAGTACATTTTTCCAGAACGCTGTACATTTACAACCACCTTTATGACCCCAATGGTGCCACCCTTTGTGGATATTTCAGTTATTCGGAAGCTATCAAATCTCGATAAAATCACTGAAACGACCCAAGTTTTAATGGAGTTGGCCACTCGCTCATTTAATTAACTATTATACACTCTCCGAATGTGGAATTGCATTCTACACTCAGATATAACTTTGCAAATTTTTCTTTATATTTCACTGGCCACCGAAAGTTTTATTAATTTAAATTCATCAATTAATTTTAATTGTAATAAATTATGAATTATAAATTATGAATTAGAAAAAACGTTTTTGAAGATAAAATTAAACTATAAACAATTGAAAACAACAAACAAAACAAAGCAATAATGTTCGCCTCTAAATATGTTGTCGTCGACAAGGCGTAAAGAAATTTAAAATATGCCAACGAGTGTCACGCTAATTAAAATTCCGCTTTTATTTTGATTTATATTTTTTTTCGTATTTTTTTCTTTACACTTCGACGCGAGCCAACTATAGAAGGAGCGAGCTAAATAGTGAGCTTTTTGTTGAATCTCCTTAAGCTCTCTTGATTTTCAGCTTTCCTTGCTCACAAGTTCTTTGTCTTATTATCCTTTATTCTCAGCCTTTTTATACCCCCCCCCCACCAGAAAAGTGTTATTCATTTTAGTTTTAGTTTCTCGTGAAATTTACAACACGAGCAGGGCTGAATCTTGGAAGAGGGATTCTAACACGACGATAGTGCTGCACTCAACGTACTGATAATGCTTTACTAGCATTATGGAAAACAGTTCGTTAAAACCGTATTACCCGCTCTAACGCCCAACGAGGTTCATCTCTTAGCTAAATCATGTTTCCATGATATCATCTACCGCATTAAGGTAAAAGAACTTAACGTGGATCAGCCTTCAACGTCGATCAATGTTGGGTTTTTGTTACCCATTAATTTTATTTCGAGGTAAATTTCCATTAATCATTTTATAGGAGGAATAGAGTACTGTTTTAATTATTCTTTAGTCAAAAGAAGATGCTCGCTATTTGTCACGCTTTTGCTTATTTCACGTTGGTGAAGTTCACAATGTTTATAATCAACGATTCAACAGAAACAATATTTCCTATTCAAATTTTTGCACAAAAGCATTTTTGTAAATTTTCTTTATCAATAATTAGAAATAGAAAAATTTTAAAACAAAGCATTTTATTGCTTTCGTCAAGAAAAAGATTTTTAGTTTTTGCAATCGTTGATAATAAACGTTGTGAACTTCATCGACGTCTTATTTCAAGTTCCCTGATGACAATTCCAGGTTAAAAAACGAAATTTTTACAAATTTCATAAACTACATTTATTTTTTATAGTTTTTACCAAATTAAATAACTCTAATAAATTTTTACAAATACAAATACAAATACAAATACAACTTTCATACAGTCAACCAAAAATTATTTTTTAATTAAAGTTAAACATAATAATTTTGATTCAACACATAATAAGTTTGATTTAACAAAAATAAATGATAAACGACCAAATAAAAACTAAAACAATATTTAAACCTTCTATATAACATAACAATTTGGGTCAAAACTCAAAAAAATTAACATCGAACTAAATAAAAATTATGTTTACAATTTAATTTCAAATTATGTTTACAATTTAATTTTAAAATATGTTTACTTCAAACATATTTCTTTGGTTAGCTAGACTGGGAAAAATTAATTTTTAAGATTTCATAAAAAAATTCTGAATTTTGGTAACTTACAAATTATTAAATTACAACGAATTCTAATACAAAACCTTCACTTTTTCTATTTCGGACAATAAAATTTCTTTTCAAACCGCTTAATTCTTAAGGAACATTTCTTAATGAATTGA